ATATCAGATTGTAGTAGCAGTATATCAGATTGTAGTAGCAGTATATCAGATTGTAGTAGCAGTATATCAGATTGTAGTAGCAGTATATCAGATTGTAGTAGCAGTATGTAGAGATGTATAGTCAGCAGTGTAACACGTATAACTTCTTTTGTGAGTGAGATCATTGCTATGGGGACTTGGACCGTTCCAAAACATGAAATTATTGTAAATTAATACAAATGATATTTACTACAACAGTTACTTCTTTTTTTTTTTAGCTAAGCCACCGAAGTACTATATGTATATATTGCATAAGAGTCAAACATCTATGTCCAAAGAATTCTTTACTATGCTCGATCATAGAACATGCTAAATTAGGAAGTGTTGATTTAAATAGAGACATTTTATCGTTTATTTTTACCTGACATTTATTGAGAAATGAAGATTTGTCTTCATAATTACCTGTAACCAGTAATACTGCTTTTATTTTTTCATAATTTATTTCTTTTAATTTCATCTTTCAAAAATTCAAGCGTTCTGGCTTGAAACCAATCTTGGTAAACCAAGATATCAGTACATATAATCGTTTAAATGTACTTGAGTTTCCATAGTTCTAGCCTTAAAATATAAACTCATGGACTAAGTCACTTGCTGTTGTTGAGATTTCATGGAAGAAAATTATATTGAACTAGTAAAGTAATACAGCGTATACAAATCTGCACGTACAGTGAGAATGAAAATACCTCAGCTAGTCATAATTATTTTCTATGTAGAGCCCTGAGTGTAAATTTGAGACATGCATACCTAGGTCATACGTATTGGCAGTTGTTTCCTAGATAATTGCTAACTACATCACACTGCCACATCCACAAAGTTATAGCCACATAAACACCACACGCACCCACGCACGCACACGCGTACGCAGTTGCGAACGCAGCCACACGCAAGCACACATGCACACGTGCACCCTGATGTGAGCGCGCGCACGCATGCATGGGCGCAGGCACGCACGCTACACAGATAGATACAGAATCATAGATGGATGGATGGATTGGATTGGATTGGATTGGATACTGTAAGAATGGATTGATGGATGGATGGATGGATGGATGGATGGATGGATGGATGGATGGATGGATGGATGGATGGATGGATGGATGGATGGATTGATGGATGGATGGATGGATGGATGGATGGGTGGATGGATGGGATGGATGGATGCATGGATGGATAGATAGGCATAGAAAGACAGATACAGATAGATAAATGGATAAATGGATAAATGGATAGATAGATAGATTGATCGATAGATAGATCGATCGATCGATCGATCGATCGATCGATCGACCGACCGACCGACCGACAGAGAGACAGACAGACAGACAGACAGAGAGACAGACAGACAGATAGATAGATAGATAGATAGATAAATAGATAGATAGATAGATAGATATGGACATTTGAACTTTTGTGAATTCATACACTTTTTCTAACTTAAAACTGGTTGGTGTAGTAAATCTCATCACAATGGATCAAATTGCAAAGGCATTCCATTGCTGCAGTGATACAAAAATCTAATATGCAAATAACTGTAAATCATGACATAAATGCAACAAATACTACATACAAACAACGTACGTGTACCACTATTTACAGTGATCCGATGCAAGTGTAACTATATAACGTGATCAACAATGTCCACAGACTTAGGTAATTATTTACGGACATACCCTATTTGTTACACGTTAAGCACTACAAGAAGGATCAAGACTAATTCACAATTAAGCATGGTTTCTATAATATCTAGACTGTTAACAGAGTTGGAGCAAAATAACCCCATGAGCAAGTTCAACAATTCATCCCACATCTACTACAAATCTCAATTAATTACTCTTATAATAACATGTGTAAATGTGACATGATTTTCAGCGCATATGGACCATTACCATACATTATTCTGTCTAACCTCTACTATGAGTATTTACATACATTGTCATTTGTTTGTTGTACTGGGACTACTGGTCACATTTGGTATAAACTTTGATTAACATACAGGCAGCACAAGACACCTTACACTTTCATCAGTTGACAATATATGATCCTGTACTTCAACTGCCCTTCAATTAATTCAACCTAGAATAATCTACATCCAGAATTAAGTGAAACAGGCCCCAGACTCGTAGACAGGATGGTCAACAGCAACGCGCAAATTGTGAGATGTTGCCACCTGACATAAGACTAGAGGTCTCTGATTCCATATATGGGACGTTGCACAACCATAACTAGCACACACTTATGAGTTTAATATTATCGTTGTTTGGCCGTAGCAATATATTCTTTGAAGTCGTACGTTCTGGCCTTTCACGAATAATATTGATAGAAGAATGAATTATAATACAAATGAAAATGTGGATGACAACTCTGTCCCAGCAATTTTCCAGTTGAAGCACAGATGAGTTTAGAAGCTAAACATGTTGATGAGCTTTTACCCACAGTGCTGGTCTTCACTGCAGCCTAATAGCTCACATGCTGCATAACAGCAGGACATGAGTGGCTGTACTACTACGCCAGACACAATCAGCTGCTTAGGCAACAATGAAGACCATCTGGTACATGATCATGAGCACGCAGGCTCACCAAACAGGTCTGAGATCATACGAACTGAACAGAAATGTGAATAGCAGGATGACACGAATGAAGAAAAGTGAAGCAATCCACTTCGGCTACACACAAGAGCACTGGTTCACCTCTTCTCATCAACCGACGAGCTGCCAGGACTACTGGACAAGCTGCGCATGGCTTTTGTTTGCTTACCCATGTCTATAAGCTGATTGAACCTATCACGCTTCCGCTTCATCTCCTCTTGCCGATTTTCCTTGTGCTGCTTCTGCCTCTCCAGCTCTGAAAGGTAGCGTCCTGTTATGATACAGGACAAATAACACATGTATGTACACATCCATGCTCGAATAGCACCTGATAGGGGCCGTAGATACACATGGATGTATGTTATAAGATCAAATTCAAGATTACGCTCACACAAAATTTTCATTATTATACTACTACTACTACTACTACTACTACTACTACTACTACTACTACTACTACTACTACTACATACTTATACTTATACTTATACTTACTACTACTACATGATGCTTCCTTGGGTCGAGAACAATTATTATGTGCAGTATTATATGCACACTCAATTCCCCTTATCTATGCAAATATGTAGCATAATGCTCCTTGCCTATGTATGTTTTTTTATGACCGAGTAATTAATTAAGATTTGTTGCCCCTTTAACATTTTTTGGCATATGATAATATATATATAGATAATAAATAAATCATGTAAAAGTTGAGATGACCAAGATTAATTTTGAGTGCATTCTTTACATTGCTTTGGACTAATGTATGGGCCCAACTGTTAAAAAATGTTTTATATTCACTCTTGGTACAACATAAGTATTATGTTCATGATCTTAGCTATCATGATGAGTTAATAACAATAATACTCAAACATGGATCAAGGCCTCATTGTAATCAACTTCCTTAATCCTAGCCAATTTTTCTGATCACGATCCCAAGACTATACTAAAGCTGATCAGCTTCACCACTAAAACCGGACGGTATTCTGGTCAGAAAAATCGAAATCACCTCCGTAATTTGAACTCTTGATTCTGATCAATGATAAAAATTGCCAAAGGTGAATTAAGTATGAACCTACATTTATCAAATGAATCCCAACTCCCGAGCAAGGAAGTACAAGCTGTTTGTGACTTCTCAAGCCTTAGCTTGGCAGACTTGCCAAAACATCACAAATTCAACATTCAAGCTTATACCTAAAATCTTGCCTTGAAATATACCTACGACTATTCTCCATTTTTAATTGATGATCAAGAAGTAAGAGCTTCAAATGATCAACATGGGTCTGACAATTTCTACTTCCTCTTATGATTAACAAGAGCCTTATGCCTATTCCTTACATCTGACTTGCATTAAGAAAACAGTTCCCAAGCTTCAGGAGGAATGTGTCAACTAGAACATTTCTCACAATATCTTATGCTTGCGAGTTTAAACTTTGTTTAGCTGACTGGATGCTGGCTGGCTGCTTGGTGGCTGGTCCAAATATATCTTGCAAATTTTTAACCAATTGCTCAACTAATTATAAAACTATTTCACAGGTTTGGTTAATTTTAAAATGTCTTTAATAAAGCATTAGCATGATGTATTAAATAGTAGCACTGTGCAATGTGTATATGATTCTACCCTTAAAGCGTAATAACACATCTAATTTGATGACTAGTGGTACCTGCAATTTCTTTTTGCAGGTTTTCCTGGTATCTCTCCACAGCACCCTTTTGCATTGATAACAACCAGTAGAACTTGTTCATTTGCCGTAATTCTTTCGCAATTGCGGTCAGCCGCTGTGCATCTGAATAACACAAATTCATCACAGATAAACATGATTGCTTCCTTTCAATTGGTATAAGAGAAAGGAATTCAACAGTCATCAAAACTAAGAAAAGCTGCTCACGTGACATGCTCAAAAACTGATAATAGCACGACAAATGCTTGGATTTTATGCACAGTAATCAGCCATATGCATATACGTGTCAGACCTGGCATAAGATAGATGAACGAATGCCTTACTGTGCATCGGATGTTCGACTGCGTAACCACACTGAAATTTAAATTTCCCAACTAGGACTAGTCATAGGCATGTGACAGTTGTCCTTGTTTTTTCGGGACGTATGGTAATCCTAATTCAAGTGTGATAGTTGTAGCGGACCCCATCTTGCCACGCATGCAGTGCTTCTAATCTATTTCTATGCAAGTACCTTCGTCCTGCAAGCCATTCGTCAGAACACTGGTTTGCAGCTTGTCTAAGGCCAACTTCATTTCAACAACAAAATCTTCAAACAAGCCAACCCGTTGTATACCTTGCCAGAATGCCAGAGGATCTGTCAAATATATGACATTTATATGTTCCTCTGGGAATAAAATGTTACATCATAAACACAGCCAACAAATACACAGATTTAATACACTGTAAATACACGTACACATAAAAAATACATACCACACTAAAATGATGGTACTAATGTTAAAGGAATAATAAGCCCATTGATTATGCAAATGTTGACGAATGCTAGAGTAACTGCTACCTTGTGTAGTTAATAAGTACATAACCTTGTAGCCAAACACGTATTAGTTTGTCTAATATCACTGCTGGTTACATTACAAGCAAGACTTGAATTCGGTTGTTGATATTCATTTACGTGCCGTAAATGTCATTCAGGAGTCAAACAATGACGTAAACATTTGTGCGGCCCGTATGTTTTGGACGTCAGGTGAAATGGAGGTGTCAGCGGTGTAACCACGGCCACGGATTAAACATGGAAATGGAGTAAAACACACGTACTAATCACGGACGCACAAGAACAGCGCTGACAACAAGTTCCTTATCACGAGCGTCCGTGTTTTAAATAAATCACTGATGATAGCATTGCGTACGGCCGAGCATGCGTGCGAAAATGTCCGGTGCACTATAAATATGTATCACACCCGCTTCGCCGGCAGCGGTTTGAAATTGTAAACAACTGATTTCTTGGACTGCAGATTTCAATCGAGACATTTCTTAGTAACCAGCAGTGATATTGGACAAACAAATACGCGTTGGGATGCAAGGTTATGTACTTATTAAATACACAAGGTGCCAGTTACTCTAGCATTCGTCAACATTGCATAATCAATGGACCTAGTATGCCTTTAATTCTTTATACTCAAGTTATACTCTAGTTTTAAAATTATTTCATGTTATTATTAAAATTTCCCACATCACATGAAAATTCATTGTTATGGAGCTTTTAAATGGACTTGAGTAAAAAAATATTTCAAAAAGTTTGTTTGAATAATAGAAAAAATTTTAACATTTCTGCACAAAGGTTGTCAGTCTCAGACTAGGGGATGGCCTGCTTTTTCCAACACTGCTATTAGATCAGTGGAAAAGGAAGCACCTTCAACATCATAGTCATTGTCCTCCTCAACATCGTGGGGGTAGGCGATAATAGGCAGAAACGGACTTAGACCGACTGCACCATTCGGCTTCATCGTTGCCAGTTTCCCACTACTATCCAATGAGTCATGATCATCACTTCCTGAAAAAGCAAACACATTTTGAAATATATTTCAATATTCACGGCTTTTAAGTTAAATAGTACGTACCAGAAATGAAACCCGGGGCCTGATTAGCACCAGGCCAGGATTAACTAAAATTTATATAATAGGTATATCAAATTTAATTTACCCTAGCATGATTACATGATGTTTACTATCTTTTATGATCAGTGCATCATGTGCAACGTACAACTAAACCTGTATATAATGGACACTTAAGGGAAACCCTAAAAGTGACCATTCTATGCAGGTAGGTGGTCATTTCAAATTTTTACCAATGTGAGATATCAAATGAATGTGTATACAGGTTGTAGAGTCCGACACTTTTAGTTGTGCCATTGTCTCTTTCGTTACCTACCTTACTATTGCAGGAGATTCAACCCATAGGGGGAGCTGGAGTGGTTGGAGGAGAGGGGAAAGGGCTTGGGACAAAGGCACAGAAGGAGAGAGGAGCGAGTTGGAAAAGGTGGAAGTATTCGAGGATGGAAAACATTGAGGATGGGGAGAAGGTTGAAAACGGTTAGAGTAGGAGATATGGAGAACAGCTAGGAAGGTTAGTTTAACTGAAAGGATATATATATATATATATATTGTAATTTCTAGTTGAGTGTCTATTTGCATGAACTAGCATTAACCATAATAAATTATTGCAATATAATCAATCATTTTCCCGTGAATCTACTTTGTACAGACTTTGCAATCCACGTGGTGTACAAGCCTAATGCATTTGCAGCAGGAATCATGCATTACCTTTCCTAGATTCTAATAAAAAATACTTGTACAACATTGATTTCCTTACCCTGATCATATGAGAGAGAAAGAGGGACCATGGTCGGTAGACCCATTGAGGAGATAGCCGAGTCGCTACCAATATCTGTGCCTGACTTAGGTGTCTTAGCTGCACATCTTCCTGTGCAGTTGTCATTGTGCATGTAGAAATCAAGCTGACCACAATCCATCAGCTTCCTATAAATATCAAACCGGGTTCATCGTTATTCATACATCATCATATACGCACACACTATATGTTTTATTCGTTACTCTATAGTTCACAACGTTGCTCAACTTGTACAGTTCTACAAACGAACAAAACAAACAAAACTGGTCAAATGTAATGCAGAACATGAATAGAAGAATTTACCTGTGCTAAAATGAGAAGATATCAATGAAAACTGTTTGAGGAAACAAGATGCGCAATAAATGTTTTTTAGCTATTAAAGAAGAAAACTAAATTCATCTCCATGCAAATGAATCATACCTGATTGGTTGACCACCTAAGCGTATCGCACTTTTCCAGTCCTTGAGTTTTTCCTTGTCCCCCATTACCATAAATGCTTTTGGAGTAACCAGCTTACCATTCACCTACATCACAGATTGAACATGTTAGAAGTTATTACGGGAAAAAAATCGCATTCTGCTGGAGGAGGATCCTATAGACCCCTCACCACCCCCATTCAGACAAGTGCTTCGTAGGTGGACTGAAGAACTTAGCCACCAATGACATCTGTAACCCAGTACCTATCATAAAAGTAATCTTGACGGAAACCCTACATTCGAGTTCAATTTTCTTTAATCACCTAAAATAGGGTTTGCGTCAGATTTTATGAGTCATTGACCTACATACTGTGGTCTCGGTTTCAGTGTGATTATGCTCCCAAATGACACCAGAGTACCTGAGAGCATCAAAATACAAAATGCATCCTGGCAAGGTGCAGTAAAACTTCCAAGACCAAACCCTCATGCCACCTTAAAGTCTCGGATCTTTGGCTTCACACAGATAAAATCTCACCGAATTTTTAACCCATAACTTGTATCCCAAAATTTAAAGCCTCTAGAGCTTACATGCTTCCTATAGAAAAGTAAATTCTAGCTGCAAATTTTTCAGATGGAAAGTATCAGGTTTTGTTCACTTTCTACCAGTGCATGAAGTTCTTCTCATTATTCACACCCAAGGTATCAGGAAATTTACTAGACACATTAGTATAGACATATAGAGTATAGACATATTCATATCAAAAGGTAAAGCATGTATGTGGACATGCACAGAAACACGAGACAATCCAGCTAGGTAATCCTCAACCATGGGAGTGGCCACAAGTTAATGTGACCTCTTTGAAACCTGGCAAAGTCATATGCAGAATCAAATGATACATCGTCAAATTACCTTTATCTATAACTATATACACAATACAGAACACAAGGTGTAAGACACAAGTTTGCATCATGGTGTAGAAATGATAATACTGAACATCCAATGTTCACCAGTCAAGGAAGATTCGAATAAAAATTCAGATTCTTAGAACTAAAGTAGTATAATACAGTCATGTAATCTGGTATATTTATTTTTCAGTTAGCATTCAAGCTTCTACTCTGGCTGGTTTCATTAAGCTAATGAGAAACTCCAATCACTTGCCTCGATACAGTCTCTATGAATTCCTGGACATATGAATCTATCCATGTGAAGACTGCCGACGAGAGCACCGCATGTGACTGCAACTAACTTCATGGTAGAAGTGGGATCCTCTGTGTCGCTCATGTCTACTGCTGTCAATTGAAGCCGGAAAAAGGGAAAACTCTAGGTTAATAAAATTGGTACAAATGCTGTATATATTAATATTGTGAGGCAGGTGGAGGGTGCTCTAATAGCAAAAGCAGTTCAGTCTTTTGTTAACAGTCGACAAATTCGTGTTTACCCCTCCTCTTGAGGGTCAAAAGGTTATCAGACATTTACTCTTCGCACGTCAGCGGAAAGCACATTTCATGATCCTTTCAATAAAGTGATAAAAATGGTAGGTCAGCGATGAAACAAAAAAGTTTTGCACTTGGTCAGTTAGACCATGTCCTCCGAAAATGTCTGATATCCGACTTTTCCCCCACTGCCCTTTGACCTGTGACCTCCCAGGGTTCTCCCCAGAATGAAATTCAAACAGGGGGGAAGGGAGGGGGAGGGGGGGAACCAACACTCACTTTCTCATCAGGATGTTGTAGAAGGAGATGCGCCGACGCTTTTTATAAACACAACACATGCCTACTACTCACTACTGCTACTAGTACTACTACTAGTACTAGTACTACTACTACTACTAGATAGATAGATAGATAGATAGATAGATAGATAGATAGATAGATAGATAGATCAGATAATAGGTTTATTGCAAAACTAGTATTAACAACGTTACAATTAAAATAAATTTTGCAAACACGATATCATCAGGCAGTATAAAACTGAAATTGATGATATTTATGTAGCGCTGCTGCGCTCGAGCTCACTAATTACGCACTAATTACGCACTAATTACG